CATCCTCCCTCACCCCAGTGCTCCCTCCATCCTCCCTCATCCCAGTGCTCCCCTCCATCCTCCCTCACCCCAGTGCTCCCCTCCATCCTCCCTCATCCCAGTTCCTCACCCCAGTGCCCCCTCCATCCTCCCTCACATCAGTGCTCCCCTCCATCCTCCCTCACCCCAGTGCTCCCCTCCATCCTCCCTCACCCCAATGCTCCCTACATCCTCCCTCACCCCAGTGCTCCCTCCATCCTCCCTCACCCCAGTGCTCCCTCCATCCTCCCTCACCCCAGTGCTCCCCTCCATCCTCCCTCACCCAGTGCTCCCTCCATCCTCCCTCACCCCAGTGCTCCCTCCATCCTATCTCCAGGACCAGCCTGCTCCAGGGAGCCAAGCAATGGCTCCATGTGTCCTGGCTGCCCAGGAGCTGCACACAGTTTTCTGCCCTCCCGGGCGGCCTCTTCCCAGAGACTCAGGGTGCCCTGCCCAGAGACCAGCTACGCGGCCATCGTCCACCGCCCGCCCATCAAAGATAAAAGAAAACTAAGGGACCCTCAACGCCTCTGCCCAGGGCCTTGCCACCCATTTGAGTAAAGTCCCAGGACCTTCCTCTAGGACGAACAACAGCAGGTGCTGAGGCTGCTGGGTAACCAGCCAGGGACGGCAGGGCCAGGCCGTCCCCTCCCTCCTGCACAGGGGACCAGAAGAGCTCAGGCCTTGGTTGCCAGACTTGGGCTCTGCCCTTCCCCCAACCCGGGGCATCCGCCACCTGAGCGTCCTGTGAGGGTCAGCACGGGCCATCCGGTAGGAGCTGAGCCCCCATATCCCCGTCCACCCCTCGGGACCCTGACCCTCACAGCACCCTGCCCAGCGGCCATATAGTGCAGATGGGAAAACTGAGGCAAAAAGGCAGCACTTGCCCCGGGTGCCCTGGAAGGCAGGGATGCACACGGGCAGCGCCCACCCCACTGAAGGTTTTCCCCGAGGCTGGGGCTGGACACGGAGGGGGCCAGCCCAGGGCCTCCGTATCTGGGTGGAGCTGGCTCCCAGGCTGAGGCCTGGCTGGCAGGTGGACAGCCCTGCCGTGCCAGCACCTGGCCAGAGCAGCGGTAGAAATGTCCTCACCTTGCTGAACTCAGCCCGTTCAGACCTGGCCAGAGCCCCGGCGGCCACGGCGGAGGCGGCCGCGGCAGTGGCGGCCGAAGCGGTGGTGGGCAGGGAGGGAGAGCCAGGCTTCCCCACCCTACCCACCCTAGGACCTCCCCCTCCACGGCAGAGGCCCCGTGGTGACGCCGCCACTGAGACTGACGGACAGGGTGGCGGGGCTGCTGTGCCTGGCCTGGCCTGCCCCACCTGGAGTTCACCTCGCCTGTGGGCCACCCCTGCACACCGCGGAGGAGGCTGGTGACTGTCCAGCAGGGCCGAGTGCCACGCGCTGGCCGGCCGGGGCCTCTGGTTCTATTGCTAAAGGCAGAGCACACACACCTTGTCTGCTGGCCTCTTCGCACGAGTAAGGAATGGACTGGGGACGTGAGTCCCTCCCACAGAAAGCAAGCACCTGCTCAGCCAAGGAGTCTCAGCCGAAGGAGGGCCCGGGTCCGCGGCCCTTGCCCACAGCCTGGCACCAGCGGGAAGGGAGGCTCCGAGTCAGGGCTGGCAGCATGCCCTCTGGACAGGATGGATTCTGTCAGCGCCACCTGGACCTCTCC